AACAGCCCTTGGATTTCCTCCAAAGAGGTCGAAACGTGAATCCGTAGTGTGCCACCGACAGGTGACCCTACATTTGAGGCGGATGAAACACCACCTGTCACTTGGACTAGCTGTATTTTGCCATGGGTCAAAAGCCCGTACTCCCAGTGAACATCCCAATCCCCGCTAAAATCCCGACTAAAATGGGTGGTGAATTCACCTACCCCAAAATTGGATCCCATTGTTTTTGATTTTCAGCCATTTCAGCTTCCCTCGGGGGAAATCTATTTGAAGCCCCTTGAGGACATCCAGAAGCCGCTGCGCTGCGGGGTTTGCAAGAAGGTGCCGGGTCACTCAGAATGGGCACCAAGGAGGCGAGCTCATGAGTTTTTTTTCCAAGAACCATGACTTCCATTTGGTTAAGAATATTTGTTCAGTGTTTTTTAGAGTTTTTAGTAGTTTTAGGCAACTTCACGAAAAACACATCGAGATGCAGAAAACAAAAGTCAAAGACGAGAACTACCAGGAATTTCATGAAGAAGGAATCTCCAAGTTGTTGGTATTGAAGGGCATCGATTTCACTACTGGAATTATGTTTATTTGTTCCAGCAAACTTAAGCAACTGGATGATGCGAAGATCCAAGGCCAAAGGGAAGATAAAGCTTGGCGCTTCGGGTTCCCAGCGAAGCAGTCGGTTCAACTCAGGCTTTTAGTTGATGTTGGTTGGCTTTGCGGTTGAGCTTCCATTTAACCCACAAGTTAAGCTTTTAGCAGGGGATCTGAGGACAGCCCAAAAAATAATTAGTCTTCCAAATCCTCCCCATGTATAGTGAATTTGGTGTTCGAACCATGGGGGACTCACTCAGTGTCTCACTTTCTCAATTCAACGCCAAAGCTTCTGCTTCGGTCAACCTTTAGCTCAAGCGATATGATATCGGTGCATCAGTGGCAGGGCAGAACTGATTCGCATTGTCTCTTCCCAATACATTTACATGCGTGCTACGTGGATGCGACCTGTTTTTGAAGCCACTTGCCAAAAAACCCGTATGCTCAAGTTCTCTACTTTTCAAGCCTGGACGGTGCTGGTTCATTGAGTTCAATTGACTTGACATGCCCATAGGTGTCCTTGCTTGGTGAGATTGGCTAGGAATCGATGGCACTGGTTTATAATGTTTCATTCCATTTCCCAGAGAAATCTGTCTTTTTCAACCAAAGGCCTCTTCAAGAGTTCCTTGCGGCTTTGAGCTGCGCACGACATGCACTTGGCACTGCCATTGGCTGCCCTCGCCCATTTTCCAATCTTCACGATCTGACCAAGGTGTGGTTGCTGTCTTCCGTTCTCTTTTCCAAGGGCAGTCACTTTTTGCTCGAGGAAAGCCACCCATGTGGGGAAATTCCCCCAACGAAGTCACGCCCGTGTATCGAGGGGTAGCCAAGCCCTCGTGCCAAAGCACATTCGCCTGTGGATGCATTGCTTGAGCCAAAGTGCAAAGAGACTTACAAAGCGTATGGCACCACACTAAGTGGCTGGCGGGTAGGTGTGTATCGGTTACGCTTGAATATTGGACAAGTTTGTTTTTCTTCGGGACTTTGGAGGCGCTGGGTGCCGCTGTGAAAGAGATTTCCCAATATCTGGGTACCCCCCCCAAAACAGAAGCCTCACGGGGGAATGTTTGTTGTCTATAGTACATCTATAGAGCATAATACATTATTGTTTCATATAGTTTGATATATATATATATATATATGTGTGTACACGGTATATCATACATGTACATATACATATATAAAACTATTGCATATCCGTGCAACGATGTTGTATATCCATGAAGCTTGGGCTTTTGGCTAAACCTCGGCGGGATCTGAGGTCTTACTGCTCAGCGGCGTGCCAGAAGGACGACTGGTCCTTCCACAAACGAAACTGCAAGAAGCCGGAGGAGAAGGCGAAGGCGCGAACTGAAAGGAGCCAGGTTTTTTTGTGTGGTGGAACAATGATCGACCCCCTTCTACCCAGAGGGTCCAAGTACCTCATGAGGATGGGGTCTAAGTACCTCCCTAGAAGGTACTTGGACCCTCTGGGGTAGTGAAGCGTTCCTTGTTGAGGGGGGCCGCTATTTTTTGTTTATACAAAAGGTGGCAAACAGACCCCGCTGAAAGGAGAAGACTCTGTTTCGGGTCCAAATTTTTGGGGACATCCGGGCCCCTTGGGGTGTGTCCTTTTCATTACCCAGAGGCTCCTGATGATTTTTGGGCCCTCAAACAGCCAGGTGTTGAGCGGAATGTCTAATGGAGGGGTCGGGTCTTCCATTGAAAGCAGGAGCCTCTGGGTAGGGAACCCCGAACATGTTGATGTATCTGTTTAGTTTCCTTTTCTTCGCCAAGCCCAACAGGGTACCCTCAAAAACACACCGAACACCGACCCCTTCGTCTGTTTTTTGTTGGACCCAAATGTTGTTGTTGCTCTTTTAGTCTCCCTGAAAAACCATGGAGGGGTAGCCTCTAAAAAGACACAAGATTGAGATAGTCCTTTCCTTTGTGGCAAGCCCTGCCATCCGGTTCCTCAGAGTTTTAGGCTTTTGGTTTTGAGTGCTTAGTTGCAGCTTCCACTAAAGCACTAAAAGTTGAACTTTTAGCAGGGAATCTGGGAACAGTGCAGTTTTTCGTGCGTAAAAACGGATGCCCTTCAGGGAAAACAAAAGGCACCAACGACAAGCACACGCGCTTTTTGCGCTTTGACACAAGCCAACCTTTCTTTTGCCAGGGTCTGGGGGCAACAGGAACTCTCCCATGACGGCCCTTCGTCAAGGGTTCCCCTGCAGAATCAGGACCATTGACTTGGCGAGTCATTTTGATTCAGTCCACTCGGAAAGCGAGTGGCAAAGGGAAGCACTCACCTGCTTCCAAAACGCGCCAGGCTGCGCCCAAAAAGCCAGCCAAATCGCCCGAGAATGAGAAGGAGAAGGAGAAGCGGCAGAAAGAGGACGCGCTCATTTCCCCGCCGCATCCCCCCGAAAATTGGACGAACATGTTTGGCTCCACACCGGGGTTCCAGTTCTATGTTCCCGTCACACTGTTTGTTTCCTTGTGGTTTCCCTTGAGCCAACCCCGAAAAGGATACTCTCATACAGAGACACACCCACAGATTTCTCTTGAAAGGATGTGACTTTTCACATCACTGGTTGACTTTGAAGTGGGGTGATGTCAGGAAGATATGGGTCTTATGCTTTTTAGGATGGCGCATCGTTGTTCCCTTTGGTTTCCCTTAAGCCATAGAATGCACCCCCACCCGTTGTAACCCCCTTTGCTTGTACCCCCCCTTTCATCAAAGAGCTCTTTGCAGCACTGATTGCCAATAGCGGCTTTTGTGTTCACATAGCTAGCTATTAGGCAGCTATTAGGCCGCTATTAGCAGCCATATGTCCTTCAGGATTGTACTACAGCAAGAGCGTCATCATGATTCACTCCATGAACATTGACGCCATGTGGAAAATGGCCAACGGACACAGCGCCGATCGAGCTGGCAGCACTTCGACAAGTGCTGGTGTTTGCATATCACACATCACAAGTACAATGATCTCCGTGGCACGTCAGAGGCGCTACCACCCGAGAAAGACATGAAGGCTTACATCGACAGCGTGGGGTGATCATCCCTGAGATTAAACAAAAAACCCGTCGCTGTTTGCAGTCTTGATCTGGAGTGATGCGCTGACTGTGCGCTTTGAATCCAAGTGAACTTGCTGTCCGTGACTCCCCTGCCTTGTTGAACGCTTCTTTGCTATGTTACAACCAAACATTGTTTGGTGGGGAAGCGCTGCTCCCTTCGTTCAGTTGGGGCCCTAAGTCAACGGCGCGACAAAAGCAGGAGTGCAGTAGTTGATTGAGATGGGCTTGACAACGCTTGACCTATTTCCCCCTCGGGAGGAGCCTTCTGAGATTCTTGGGTCCCAATGTAGCGTTTTACACTTAGATGAAAGGGGGGCGGGGTTATGACGGGGGGTGCATTCTATGGGTAAACGCAAGCAAAGAAGGTACCCGCGAAAGAAGAAAAACAGACACACACACAACCACACACGCACACACACACACACCCATATCGTCATCCTGTTTTGAGGCTCAGTCTCCCTTGTGGTCGGTTCTCAGATGGTTTCCACTACCTCAAACCACTCCGGGGAAATCACGGTCTATACCCTTTACACAGTGGCTATAGGTTTGTATACCCCAAGTTTCCAACTTGGGGGGGTGGGGAAACTCTCGTTTCAGGTGCCGTTTTCGGAACACCTGGCGTTTTCAGCTTCGCTCGGAGAAGAAACCTCGGAGGAGAAGGTCATGGACGACGAGGACGTGGGCACCTGGCAGGCTTCTTAGAGAGCTTCTGACCCGGAGGCGTAGAAGGAAATTCCCTTGCGATCGGTGCGAACTCGGTAGCGAAGGAGAAATGGAGTGAACCGGTTTAGGGGATCCCCGGTCCGGCCCGGTCCCCGAAGAAAGGAAAACATCAGCAAGGGATGGTTTATAGGGGAAATCGGTAGGAAATGAGGGATCCCCGATAGAAATCTATCCGTTGGATAGTTTATAAGGGGCGTTCCATTTCTCAGGGACCCTGCCAATCGCACCAGCAAGTTTCGGCTGGAACATCCGGAAGCCAGACAAGCTTGGGGCTCCAAAAGAGTCCTTAGCGTGTGGCTCGTCCCTTTTTTGGATTTGGACCCCCCTCCGCTCCCCAGAATGGTTTCTTCGGTTTTCCTGTGAGTTTCCATGTAAAACCACAAACAAGGGGGTACCAGCTCCAATTTAAGGCACGCCCAGTTTTTCAGATTCGGGGCTTCCCTTTCAAACCGACCACTTGCACAGGTCAAGAATGAACACCCCGTGAATGCCGTATGTTTGTTGTATCGGCACGCGCCTCAGCCATGTCATCGGCATCACCCAGCGTTCTCTCAATAGGTCAAAGGTTGGCAAACCAAACTGTCCACCAACAGCACGCAGGGCTGACCCTCCCAGTTTGCAGTGGGTCTTGACCG